CTTCGTAAATATATCTTATTAAGTTTAATAATTGAAAATTGGTTTTTCACGTTTATTTTTGAATATTATTATTTTGGTGGATTTGTAAAATTGACCTTTTACATTGAAATTTATAACTTAATAATTATTTCAAATTGTTGAGCAAAAACATTTTTAAAGTAATTGTTTTAATGTTATTTTTATCTTTAATATTCGTTAATTCATTTCGAAAATACAAAGATCTATATTTTAAAATATTTGTATATGCTTGGAGTATTTTAGTATCTGGCGATTTTCCAATATTGATAATTAAAATCATCTTAATCATCAAAAAGTTAAAGATAATCATTTGAAAGCTTTTAAAATGCTCGATTGCCATCTTGAAATACTAGTTTATAATTTGGTCATAATAATTTGGTCATTGCAATTATTAAATAGAAAAAATTGTTACTATACATTACGAAGGAGTTACACGTAGATCACGTGAGTTATTACAAGAATTTATAAACATAACGGCCACCTTATACCCATCATTACTCTCAACCTAGAGAGATTTGCCCCATACGTATATAAGTCAATTATTCAAGTTTTTGACTCTCCAATAAGGTTCAAGATAAAAAAATTTTAACAATGCCATGGTAGAATTTAAACAAAAATTGTTATCAAATTTGGCTAAGTAGCAAAGATTTTAACTAGTTTTTTGATCAAATTTTCTTAAAAAATTTGATTTTGATTCTATAAATTGTAGAATTAAAATAAAAAAATTTAAACCTCTAAAAAAACTCTTGATATTTGTATCCGGTAAGATCAAAAAGATCGACTTTGAATTCGAATAAAATATTAACAAACTTTATTTAAATTCAAAATAAAATGTTAGCAAATCCTATTTAAATACAAAATGTATTTTTATAATAATTTGTCCAGCTTGTTACTAACAAAATTTAATAGATTAATTTAATTTTAGTCAAAATATTTATAAAAAGTTGGTTAATATAAATTTATCAAAACAAATATTTACCTTTTTGAAAAAATTCCAAATTATTATTAGATCGATTATTTTTTATATATCTATCAATTTTGTATAAGTATCTAATTAAAATGGTTATATTCAATAAAATACCTATACTTATATTACCTTAAAAAATATTTATTATTAGAATTAAAATAAATAAAGTTACAAAATAAAATTTTACTATTTTTAAACTTTGTATACTAACTTATATAATATATATCAAGAATTCTAAATGTATACGTCTTTATCAGAAGTCCAATATAAATACAAATTATAAGTATGCAAGCAGTACAAAGTTTTATATTGACATAAAAAATTTTTTTCTCAGAGCTATGTGAATATTCCTGCGTTAATGCTTGTGTAAATTCTTTGTATCCAAATTTGATTTTGCAACAGAATGGTATACAAATAGCTTCTACAAATAAGTCTTCATTATTTTTATGTTGTATCTAATGGTAAAATTAATATAAATATAAATTATTTTAATATTATATAAATATTTACAGAGTGTAAATAAGCTTACATCTTGAAACATATAATATGAAATATATAATGGTAAAAAAAAATACCATGGAAAAATCAAAATAACATCAAATATATCAGTAAATAATGACTTTTCTATATAGAAAAGCCAAAACGTTCCTAACAAAGTAGACTGCATAATTTGCATTAGAAGATATGGATATGAATATGGATAAGCGGCATTAACCTAGTCGATAATATCGTTAGTAAAAGAAAATATTTTGAAAATTAATACATTTTACTTACTCTTATGCGTGCTGTATATAGTGTGATTATACTTAGAAAAATCGATATTATAGCATAACATGCAATAATTATCAAACCAATAACAATAAATCTTTAATAAATTTGGTAAAAGATATCAATTAATAAGCACTTATTGTAAAATAGGTATCTTAATAATTTTCAAAAAAATATATAAAATAAATCATATTTCTACCTTGAATCACTTATATCGTTTAAACTGAACTTGAACAAAAAAGCAGAAACATAATAAAAGAGCGATGTACTAAATGGATCCATCTATGGATTAAGTATTGAATTACTATAGAAACTTTGTAAATAGAAGCAACTAAAATTAAAAATTTAACCAACCATAGTACATACAAAAAAAGAGGATATACAAAAGCAAACCATCGTATATGCTGCAGATGCCAAAGATGCAACAAGGCCGCTTGCATATTCACGCTGAGAATAATAAGAATAATAAAAAAATGGAAGAGCAAAGAAAAAGATAACAAATATAAAAGTATATAGTCTTATTGTATGAAGGAAGATTAATTTAACTGATTCAACGTTGCAAACTAACATACTGATGATATATCATCACTGAAGAGGAATAAAATCTACTTTATATATACCTTATATTTAGGCAATTTAGCAAGACACAAATGAGTAATATATAGCGAGTTCTAGATTGGCGTATTGATTAGAGATTGACTTCATTTATTTCACACGAATTCAAAGCTTCGTGCATAGCCACTCATTCTTGTAGATCAGGTTTTATCGTTACAGGTTTTACATATTACTAAATGTAAAATTATGCTTATCGTTATTACATATAATTTAAAAGTATTCATATCTCAAGTTTGCCTATGAAATTATCATTAATGTTCTAGTTAAAACGATTCCTTATAAACTTTTTTGTATATGGGTTATTTATATATATTATTCGCATTTTGCTATCATATAAATAGCACATCACTACATACGTATATTGATTAAAAAAAGACGAAGCATAACTAAAAACAACAGAATTTATAGTGTTTATCTTTCAGTTTCATAAAAATAAACCTTTCAAGAATTGAGATTTGAATTAATAAAATCTATTATAGTTATTGTTCATTTATATTTATCTGTGATTCTCTTGATTTTTTCAAAATAACTCGTATCAATATAATAATCTCTTAATAATTCTTCTATCATATTTAATCTTTTTACAACCTTTTTTGCTAAATTAGATGGGTCATCTTTGATTTCTTTTAGAGGTTCAACAAATGGAATTTCAACTTCCAATAATTTATGACGCCTAATAAAATCATATTTAAAACTTCGATTAATTGGTCGATAA